ATTTTAGAGAAAGTAAAATCCTGTAAAAGTTCTTTAATGATTTACAAGAGCCTCTCCAAAATCCATGAAAAATAGTGCCATCTAGTGCCAGTTTGCTATCATCTCAACCAAGGAGTTTAACTTCCTCTGGATTGTTACTTTTAGTGGACCTGCATGTCTACATTATATTAGTCTAAAAGAGGTGTTTGTTAATTTTAAAATGGGAGCAGAATTTGTGTCTGGTTGTTGGTTGAGGAAGGCTTTAGCCCTGTCTATGGTGAATTGTTGTCATTTAATATGTTGCCGACACTTATTGTCTCCACCTAAAAATGAGGAAAACTGAAAGCGTGAGAACTGGACCATCACTTTGGGATTACAGCACAAGATAAAGGGAGAAGATATAACAGGAAGTCAAATGAAAAGAAAACACGAGCAGATAGAGGATGTACAATAATCATGAAACTGTTCTTGTTCTGAATAGATTTGATTTTAATCATTCCATGGGCATCACTGTGTTTTCCATTTGAATGCTCCTGAAGTAAGTGGCTTGCTGGGCCTTTCAGACAGCAATTAAGAGTTAACCACATTGCTCTGGGTCTGGACTCACCAAGGAAGGCAATGAAGCAGATTTCTTTCCTTAAAGGACATTAGTGAACCAGATGTTATTTTTTGGGGTGGGTGGTGGCATGTGAAGGGAGGTGGTAATGACAATTCTTTCATGGTGACCATTAGTTCAACTAGCTTTTATTTCCATTTGTTTGGAATTTATTTTAACTTTCATTATCTGACAAAGTAGGATTTGAGCACATCCCCAGAGCATTAGCCTGGACTACTAGATTACTAGTTCAACAACATTATCTCCCCAGTTTTTTTTCATATGCTGTTTTGGTACTGGACTTTTTCACAGGGAACCATGAAATCCCATTATATCCACATGTTAATCGTTGTTTTGTACTGTCAAGTATCTTTTGATTAAAAATATAAAGTTGCAAATATATAAAATAGAATTCTTTGAATTGGTATGGATCTTCGAGATAAAGTGTCAAGTTTTCCATTACTTTTTGTGTGGAAACGTATCTTCTGATTCAGGGATATGTTTATTCCTTTGATTCTTTTCCTGTTTTGTTAAAAAGAATGTATGACAGTCTAGGACTAGTGTGACATCATCTAATAATTGACTTTTCAGGAGGAAAATTAGGAAACTCTTCTAAAGAGAATGGTTTGGAGATCACTTCCTTGGGTGGCAATTGATGCTCAATCTATTGAGGGGGAAAAAAGACTGAGACTTTTAATAGTCAAAGGCATTAAAGGATATTGGGGTAAAGACAGATATACAAAGTTAGGTCACTGAGATGAGAAGGAACCTCTTCACTCAGAGGGTGGTGAACTTTTGGATCTGTCAGAGCCAAAGGGCTGTGGAAGGTCACTTATTAAATAAGTTCAAGGGAGAGAGTCATAGATTTCTATTTACTGATGATATCAAGGGATAGGAGAATAATGTTGCATTGAGGTAGATGATCAGCCATGATTTAGAATGCTTGAACTGATTCAAGAGACTGAGTAGCCTACTCTTGCTCCTATGTTGCTATCAGCCATGATCCCACTGAATGGCACAACAGGTTTGAAAGTTTAAATGGTATAAACCTGTTCCTGTAGGACCATTCGGTGCCTGGAACCAATGGGTTAAAATTGCACAATGCCTGTTCCATCAACTGGCACCTCAAAATTGCATTGCTGGTCATGTATGTCTTTTAACTAGTGGGGTCCTACCTGAATCAGCTGGATGCCTCAGAAGCCCATGCAAAACACACAAAAATGCAGGATAAGGATCAGCAACATTGCATTAAGTCTTTTACTTCTATAAGATGTTTAATTTTTTTCATGCAGCGACTGGCTCATTCCCACCAGGTGGAGGAACTGATAATAAGGGCTTTGGAGTTAAAAGTAGTAATGGAGCACAGACAATCAGTGAGATCCAGCAAGAAGCTGAGTTAAGGAAGTTGGTTAAGTCAATCAAAATGACGCGCAAATGATTATTGTCATCCAGATATTTTCCTAATCCGCTTGCTCAGAGATGTCATAGCACACCTCTGGAGCAGATGGGAATTGAACCCAGGTCTCCTAGATCAGAGGTAGGCACTGTACCACAAGAGCCCTTGGTGCTGGCTTCTATACTAACAAAAAGATGAGTGGAACTAGTTAAGTGAATCTACTCAAAATTGCAGCCTGATAATTCTTAATCTGGCCCCTAATCAGGCATTTATATGGTCTAATTTTCAAAAGATTGAAAATGGGGAAACCATAAAAATACATAAATATCTGGTTCAGATCAGAAGCGAGTCTACTGTTAAACTTGGATTACACTCTGAAGAATTTTAAGATGTTTCAACATGGAGGGTGCTATTAAAAGGAAAACAAATCTTTATAGAGCTTTGAGCATCACTTTGCCTTTTCCATTTCCACAATGTCATCCCACTCTGCTTACCTCGTCTGCTACTGAAACCTTCTTACCCTTGTTACCTGCGGACTTGATGGTTCCAAGACATTTATAGTTCTCTTCCACAATTTATCCCACATTACTTGAGATCATCCGAAGCATTTTTGCTCATATCCTGAGAGATAGTAAGACCTGCAGATGCTGGAGTCAGAGATAACACAGTGTGGAGGTGGAGGAACACAGCAGGCAGGCAGATGCCCTCTACCGCATCTCTTGCATTTCTTCTTCCCTCACATCTCCGCCCTCCTCCAACAGAAATAAAGAATGAACCCCCCTTGTCCTCACATACCATCCCACCAACCTACACATCCAGCATATCATTGTCTGCCACTTCCGCCACCTACAATCTGACCCCACAGCCAAAGAGATATTTCCCTCCCCACCCCTTTCTGCCTTTCATAGGGACCGCTCTCTCTGTGACTCCTTCATCCGCTCCACACTCCCCACTAGCCCCACCACCCCTGGCACCTTTCCCTGCAACCACAGGAAGTGCTACTCCTGCTCCTACATCTCCACCCTCACATCCATTCAAGACACAAAACAAATCTTTCACATTAGACAGAGGTTCACCAGCACGTCCATCAACGTGGTCCCAGCATCCGCTGGTCCCGATGTAGCCTCCTGTACATCGGTGAGACCAAGCGGAGGCTCAGAGACCATTTTGTATAGCATCTGCACTCTGTTCGCAACAAATGACAACACCTTCCGGTCGCGAACCATTTTAACTCCCCCTCCCACTCCCCGCGTGACATGTCCATCCTAGCCTCCTCCAGTGTCACAATGATGCCACCCACAAACTGGAGGAGCAGCACCTCAGGAGCCTACAGCCCGATGGCCTAAAAGTGGATTTTACTAGTTTCAAAATCTCCCCATCTCTGGCCTCATCCCATGACCAACCCTCCCTCTCATCCCCCCTCCTTGACCTGTCCATCTTCTCTCCCACCTATCCGTCCCCCCCACCTCACTGACCAATCCCCAGCACTCCCCGCCTACATTCACCTGTTACCATCCCACCTACCTTCCCCAGCCCCACCCCTCCATTCTCTATTTATGTCTAAGCTCCCTTCCCCTTCCCCTTCCCCATTTCTGAAGAAGGGTCCCGACCCGAAATGTCAACTTTCCTGCTTCTCTGCTGCCTGGCCCACTGTGTCCCTCCAGCCCCACACTGTGTTATCTCTGCTCATATCCTAACTTGGACCACAACCTGCTCACCCAGCTTCAATGTGTTTGTTAAACAATGCCAAAAAATTCTGGCCCACGTGCCATTGCCCAGAGTTTCGGGGCACAGGAGGCAGATTGAGATCCTTTTGGTTGTAAGTTACCCGTTCAATTAAGGCTCTTAATAGAATTGAGGGTTGGAAGCCTAGCGGGTGACTTCCCCATCTCCCTCTTCAGGCTTCCCGTGGCATTATGGGAATAAATTGGGGTTTTGTGGAAAGGTGGTGGCTGGTCACCTGATATATCTTGTGTGCCCTCCCACTGCAAACACACTTGATGGTGTGCTGTAAAATGCGGCCCATTGTTGAGTGTCCAGGACAGAAACAAGCCATTTAGACCGACTGCCTGATGCTCAGCGGTCCCAGTGTTGATCCTTGTGGAACACTTCTTTACATATATAGGTAGTTTGCGTATCTGTCTTTAATCACTATTTTCTGCTTACTGTTTTGTAGCCAGCTTGCATAAAATTCTGCTGTCTGTTTCCTGGCTCCCAATTGTCTGCCTTTAGCCTACTCTATGGTACCATATCGAAGATCCTTTCAGTATATATAATTTATCTATATTACATCTACAATCACATGATTCTTGTCTATCCCTTCTGTTTCTTCCTTAAATAATTCAATGGCATTGATCAAGCGTGGCCTTTCTGATGTGCGTGCTGCCATCTGTGTCTTCTAAGTGCATCTTTCCTTTTAGGGGATTGTGTATGGTCTTGTGTATGTCTGAGGGTAGCTGTCTTCTGGTCTAAGGAGAGAGATCTTGTAAAGTAAATAAGATGTCATTTATTGCATCTCTGTCACTATTTACAGGCAATGGGGGGCCCTGATTTACAAACGTCCAACTTAAGAACGCTCATACTTAGGAATGTGAACCCATGCAGGAGTGTAATTTTAAACATCTGACATACAAAGATTTCCACTGTTTACAGACAGCTTCTTTATATTGTCCTGCGTGTGTTCTGACTTGCATACAATTCAACTTGTGAACAGGTTCAGGAATGGAACACAGGACTGCTTGTATAAGAACAGACTTTACATTATGTCAAAGATTGTTGGCAGGATCTAGCCTTACTTAGTCTTATCTCCCAAGAGATCCTACTTTACTCTCCCACAAAACTGTTGTGGCATCATCCCATTGGCTAGTGCTTATTGCACTTTCGGACTCCAATACAACACTTCCCCTTTGAAATCCCGTATGACTGGATCCTATTCAGTTCCTGATGTTGCTTCATCCACCACTAAAGCTTCCTTTACTTTTCTCAACAGTGACCTTACCCACTGTTTTAAAAGTAAAATCAAGCACTTGCCTGTCCGCAATTCCTCTGGTACAAATTTTAAAGTGAATTTTATCGAACAAGAATTTGACATTTGTTTAAAGGGTACCATTTTTGAAAGGTTGCTATTTTTGAATTTGTAATTTGAGTATGATATTGATTTCCCTCAAATGCATTATTTCTTTCATATTGTGAACCCTAGGTTATCTCCAAGAAGCGTACTTATGGTCAAAACAAGCCCTTACTGTTCTTGAGAAGTCAATGGTTTTACTGAAGGATGTAAAAGATGGGTCCTTGTACGAAGGTGTGGCATATGGCAGTTACACCACCAGATCCCTATTCCAGTACATGTTTCTGGTACAAAAGCATTTCAATATCAGCCACTTTGATCACCCCTGGATCAAGCAGCATTTTGCTTTCTACTATAGGACTGTGCTTCCAGGTAAATATTTTAAATCTAAAAAATTATCTCGACTGTTGTTTACACTCTAGTAGCTTTATCTCGGATACAAGTGGCAAGACATAAAAAGGGAAGATTCTATCCAAATGCATTGTGCTATGAGGTAGTTCGGTCTCTATTTAGTACTCATAATGGTAAACTCACAATCTCAGCTGTGCTACTGACAGGGTACTCCACAGAACACGGGATGAAACAGATCCTAGAGGCTGGGCGTACAGTTGCCCTGGGAGAGGAACTGCTGCTGTCGATATTGGAGACAGGTGACTGACCAGGGTATTCAAATAAATTTCAATTTGCTTGAATTAAATCATTGCTTCTTTCAGAAGAGTTTTCTGTCCAAAGAAAGGAGTCAACGATATTTGCTGAAGGAAAATTATTGGTTTTAAGGAGGGGGGATTACTGCAGACAATTGTTTATGTCTGTCTATACCTGTGTGTAGGAGTTTAAAAGAAGGTTAGAGTTATCACTAGTAGAGTTACATGTTGTGTGTGCGGAGTAGTTAAAATTTACTTACTTTTAATAAATAATCGGTCTCATACAGAAACCTGCTCAGTGTTTTCTGTTAACCCGGAGTCCATTGGACCAGTAAATTGGGATATTAAGTGATTTTTTTAAAAATAGAGTCATAGAGTTCTACAGCACAGAAACTGACCCTTCAGTCCAACTCGTCCATGCTGACCAGATATCCTAAGTTAATCTAGTCCTACTTGTTCCGCATCTCTCTGAACCCTTCCCATTCATGTACCCATCCAGATGCCTTTTAAATGTTGTACCAGCCTCCACCACTTCCTCTGGCAGCTCATTCCATACACGCACCACCCTCTGCTTGAAAAATTTGCCCCTTAGGTCCCTTTTATAATCTTTCCCCTCTCTCCTTAAACCTATGCATTCTAGTTTGGACTCCCCTACATTGGGAAAAGACCCTGGATATTCACATATGGTGACGTAAATCAAAAAGTATGTTCTTAAATCTTTTGTGCTGACATCAAGAGAAATTGGACTTGAGTATCAATGGACTTTCGCAAGTGAGTCCTGATGATTGAGGGACCACTATTGCCCAAGACACCCAGTAGAACTCCCTGCAAATGCAACCCTAAACCCATGGCTGTTCTTTGAATTGTGGTTGTCAGGTCTTTTATAACATACTTGAGAGGGAAGATGAGATTTTTATTTAACATGAAGTTGGTTCGTATGTGGAATGAGTTGCCAGAGGAAGTGATAGACACATTGGATCAGTACATGGAAAAAAAAGGTTAAGAGGGATATGGGCCAAACGCAGGCAAGTTGAACTAGTTTAGTTTGGGAAATTTAGTCAGCATGGACTAGTTGCACTGAAGGGTCTGTTCCATGCTGTATGACTCTATAAAAATACAACTCATTGTTTTATCTAAATGATGTGCAAGATTCTGCAAAATCTTAATTACTCCAATTACTTCATTACTGTATTTTATAAGTTAATGTAACAGCCATTCACAAACAACAGTGTTCTTTAAACAAGATTGAGATAAGTGACCTACAAAGCCTTTAATTGGGGATCTTAGTTGACAAGGATTGTTAGCCAGGATATTGTATGCTCTTTGTCATGTGGTCTAAAATCTTTAATATGCACCTGAAACATTGCTACAGGTAGCTGGGGCCTGATCAAAAGAATCTGAAAATGCAATACTCCCTCAGGATTTCAAAGTTTAGTTTATATGCTCAATGGATCACTGTCATCATTTGGGCACTTCTGGAGGCAGATCCTTGGTTCATTGTCCATTGATGCCTCATTCTGAGCCATTTGCTGAAAGTTGTTTACTGTAGATATCAGGGTTAAATACAAAATCACTCTCCCTGTAGGAATCACAACAACTGGCGGCACATATTAGTAATTGAATAAAACGTGAGTAACATGACATCTATAAAGGATGTTACATTGTGGAGAGAATCTAATTTCATAAGGTTGATTTGATCATATGACCTTTACCAATCGATGCTCATGAGATTGGTTTTATCTTTTACTTTTATATGAAACATTCTCAACAGCAATTTGGTAAAAATTCTAAGCAACTTAGTTAGATGACATTCAGGACTTCATGTAAGATAGGATAAAGGTTTAAATATTAACACAGTAATATCATCCTCCTGTAAATAGCACAACATGGGATATATGCAAATCTAGTCAACTATCAATACATTTGGACAAGTACTTACAAACCAGTAAACCGGAGAAAAGGCTGAATAATCCTGAAATATCCAAATTGTCATCAAATGAATGAGGATTTCAGTTGAGGTATGAGTGTCATTGGTATGTCCACTCAATTATAACTCTCATTTTGCTGCTCCAGCTTTTTGAATGACTGTTGGGACAGCAATGTTCAGTTTACTTTTACTTCACTCTGTGGTTTCTCTTTAGCACTGAATTTTGATTTTGATTATATTTTCTAGGTTTTCAAAGGACTGTCGCCATTGCTGATTCAAACTACAACTGGTTCTATGGTCCTGAGAGTCAACTGGTGTTTCTGGATACCTATGTAATGCGCAATGGCAGTGGCAACTGGTTAGCCGAGCAGATCAGAAAGTATCGAATACAGGAGGGACCAGGCACACCAGCCAAAGGACAGAGATGGTGCACACTCCATACTGAATTTCTGTGGTAAGATGGCAGTCAATTGGATGAAATTATCAAGTGTTTAATGCAAAAGAAAGGCTAGTGAGTGATTAGTTAAATAGTACATGTAAATTTGAGCGCTCTCTAGCAAGTACCAGGACAGCCTCGTGACAGCATGGTAGGCAACACTCACTATAAAATGATAATGCTCTCACTATACCCTTCACCACATTACTGGTACAAATTGTGCTGTGTGGAGTGGTGCCTGTAGTGGGTGAAGGTGCAGAGTTTCAGCAACTAAAAACTGCCTCCCTCTGCCTCCAGAACCCACTTACATTGGGAATCAAGCCCTGTATTTCTGAACGTATGTTGCCTGACCTCCAAAGTTTGCATGTTTCTTCATCATAAGTGTAGTTTGCACCTGCCTTCAGCATATTGAAAGGCACAGCAAAAGTAACTTGTGGCACGGCAGCTAACTTAATGTTTGATACACCAAGTCCAGAGTTAGACTTCCAAGTTTGTCAATCATTTCATCCACATTTTTGTAAGAGGGGCTTTGGTAAAGAAGTGCGAAGGCCACTCCCTCGTTAGGACATTCTGTAACTGGTTGGCAGAATCCCATTTTGGAATTGGAGGTTTTGGCTGCCAGCCAGAAAGCAGGGATGAGACACATGCTGCCGCTATACAAAGGCCCACGGAAACACAAATCAATCAGACAGGGCCGAGTCCACCAGTGGGGGAGGCAATGGCCTAGTGGTATTATCGCTGGCCTGTTAGTCCAGAGACCCAGGTGATGTTCTGGGGACCTGTGTTCGAATCCCACCGCAGCAGATGGTGGCATTTGAATTCAATAAAATATCTGGAATTAAGAGACTAACAGTGACCGTCAATCGATTGCCAATTGTTGAGAAAAACCCATCTGGCTCACTAATGTCCTTTAGGAAAGGAAACTGCCATCCTTACCTGGTCTGGCCTACTGTGACTCCAGACTCTCAGCAATGTGGTTGGCTCATAACTGCCCTCTGGGCAATTAGGGATGGGCAATAAATGCTGGCCTTGCCAGGACGCCCTCATCCCATGAATGAGGAAAGAATAAAGGGAATCAAAACCTCCTGGACAGAAGTCCCACCTAGTGAGTTTGGCCGGCAGCACCACTAGCAAACAGTGACCATAACATGGTAGAATTTAGCATTCAGTTTGAGAGGGAGGAACTATGGTTGGAAACAACTGTGCTAAGCTTAAATAAGGGTAATTACAAAGAAATGAAGACAGAGATTGTTGGAGTGGATTGAAGAAGGAGTTTAGCAGGAAAGATGGTTGGGGAACAATGGCAGGCATTTAAGGAAATAGTTCATGCCTCACAGAAAAGATATATTCCAATGAGAAAGAAGCATTCTAGGAAGCAGCTAAGTCAACCATGGTTAACCAGAAAGTTAAGTATTACGTTGACTTGAAAGAAAAAAAACATACAATGTTGCAAAGATTAAGGGTAAACCAGAGGATTGGGAAAGTTTTTTAACAATCAAAACAAACATTGAAAAACAATAAAGAGGGAAAAGAGATAGTAGGAACTGCAGATGCTGGAGAATCCGAGACAACAGGGTGCAGGGCTGGATGAACACAGCAGGCCAAGCAGCATCATAGGAGCAGAGAGGCTGACGTTTCGGGCCTAGACCCTTCATCAGAAAAGGGGGAGGGGAAGGGGGTTCTGAAATAAATAGGGAGAGAGTGGGAGGCGAATAGAAGATGGATAGAGGAGAGGATAGGTGGAGAGGAAACAAACAGGTCGAAGAGGCGGGGATGGAGCCAGTAAAGGTGAGTGTAGGTGGGGAGTTAGGAAGGGGATAGGTCAGTCCAGGGAGGACAGACAGGTCAAGGGGGCGGGATGAGGTTGGTCGGTAGGAGATGGAGGTGCGGCTTGAGGTGGGAGGAGGCGATAGGTGGGAGGAAGAACAGGTTAGGGAGGCAGGGACGAGCTGGACTGGTTTTGGGATGCGGTAGGGGGAGGGGAGATTTTGAAACTTGTGAAATCCACATTGATACCATTGGGCTGCAGGGTTCCCAAGCGGAATATGAGTTGCTGTTCCTGCAACCTTCGGGTGTAGGTTACGTGGAACAATCCCTCTTCCGTACCTACACCGGCCCTAAACCCCACCTCTTCCTCCGTTACATTGATGACTGTATCGGCGCCGCCTCGTGCTCCCACGAGGAGCTCGAACAGTTCAT